AACGAGGCAAAAAATTGTAGACCAAATAAATCTATTATTGAGTTTAATCCTCAATGTGTCTCACAGGCACTGGAGAGAGTGGAAAGAGCACCTTTATCAAACAAATGAGGATTATCCATGGAGGAGGATATACAGACGAGGACAAAAGGAGCTATGCCAAGCTGGTGTACCAGAACATCTACATGTCCATGCAGACAATGGTCCGAGCTATGGAGGCTCTTGGTATATCTTTCACTGATCCCCAGAACCAGGTACAGGCAGACTGACTCTGTTCCAGTCCTTTACAATAAAGACTTGATGGATGGTTACCTCATTGTTACCTCACTGTCTTTTTGTCTTCTCGGTGTGTCCATAGAGCCATGCCAGCGCAGTCCTGGAGGTGGAGGTGGATAAGGTGAAGGACTTAGATAGCAACCTCGCCATGGCTGTCAAGAGTCTGTGGGATGATCGTGGAATACAGGAGTGCTATGATCGGCGCAGGGAGTACCAGCTGTCCGACTCCACCAAATAGTGAGAATTAGGCATTTATGATCTTTAACAGTGCGCGCAGATCTCTGTACTTTTCTAGATCAAATTTGGTTTACATTTTAAGTTTTCTACATTTCTCCTTTCTTAGTGTTTTTTTTTCTCCCTGCATATTTTTCTTTTTAGCTATCTCACAGATCTGGATCGGATTTCACAGCCCTCATACATACCTGATCTTGACGACATCCTCAGAGTCCGAGTCCCAACCACTGGTATCATTGAATACCCCTTTGACATGTGGTCTAAAGATCAGAATGTCATTTTCAGGTGAGGTGCATATTGACATCTTCTGCACTGCACAGTTTCATTTCAATTCAGTTCAGTTGAGTTTATATAGCATCAAATGACAAACAGCAGTCACCTCAAGGTGCTTTATATCTTAAGGTAAAGACCTTACAGTAATGCAGATAAAGTGCCAACAATTAAACAACTCCCTTTGAAAAAGCACTTGGTGACAGTAGCAAGGAAAACCTCCCTTGTAACAGGAAGAAAACTCTTAACAGAATCAGATTCTGGGAGGGGCGGCCATCTGCTGCAACTGTTTGGGGATAAGGTGAGGGCGACAGGACAAACAACACACTGTGTAAGAGAGCCAGAGATTAATAATAGCTAATGATTAAAGAGTGATGTGTAAAAGGTGAGTGAAGAAGAAACACTCAGTGCTTCATGGGAAGCCAATGCAGCCTAGACCTATTGTAGCATAACTAACAGATCACCTGATCCAGCCCTAACTATATGCTTTATCAAAACGCAAAGTTTTAAATCTAATCTTAAAAGTAGAGAGGCTGTCTGTATCCCAAATCCAAACTGGGAGCTGGTTCCACAGAAGAGGGGCCTGAAAGCTGAAGGCTCTGCCTCCCATTCTACTTTGAAATACTCTATGAACCAAAATAATAGCAGCAGCACTGGAACTGGCCACAGGCATGGCACAGACCTCGAAGGTGGCGTGACTTTTCTTGGCTGCTTTTATGACAGGATGGTTGATGTGGGTGGTCAAAGATCAGAGCGGAGAAAGTGGATCCACTGCTTTGAGAACGTCACCTCCATCATTTTCTTGGTGGCACTCAGCGAATACGATCAGGTCCTGGCTGAGTGCGACAATGAGGTGAGAATTTAACGACACAGCAAATGATGATTTCAGTTTACATCCTCCTGGAGTTTTACACGTGCTTGATCCCTTTAAACATCTCAGAACCGCATGGAGGAGAGCAAGGCCCTGTTCAAGACCATCATCACCTACCCCTGGTTCCAGCGCTCATCTGTCATACTTTTCCTCAACAAGACCGACATCCTCAAGGAGAAGATCTTGTACTCTCACTTATCCACCTACTTCCCTGAATTCACAGGTTAGACTGAGTGAATGCTCATCTTGATTTCAGCTCTTATTCCACCACAAGATTTGTAATTACTTAGCTGATCTAATTAAGTCCTTCATCATACAATCGCTGCACGGTACTCATTTTTATGGAAGTGTTGAAATAGACTAAAAATACTCAACTGACACTATATTAGGTACACTGTGCTGGTACCAGGTTGAACCTCCTTTACCATCAGAATTGGTTTAATTCTTCATGGCTGAGATTTAAAAGGGAGCTGAAAACATTCAGCAGGAATTTTGGTCCACATTGGCAATCATTAGTCTAAGCTCCGCCCCTCCCTCCTTGATACAAGCCCACAAAAAAAGTCACCAAATTTGTTCTGCGTTAAAAACCCATAATTTGTTCAAAATAAAATAACTGATTGGTTTTTTTTTTAAACACATTTTTAATCTTTAAGTATCAAGACTTAGAATTTCAGTTTTGGTTCGGTGTTTTTGGCTGACAAGAGGTGAAACCATGTGTGGTCTTCTGCTGCTGTAGACCATCTGCTTCAGAAGATGCTCTTCTGCATACCTTGGTTGAAATGAGTAGTTAATTACCATTAGTTACTATATCATCACGTCTGGCCATTCTCCTCTGACCTCTGACCTCTGTGAGGACTGCTACTCACAGATCATCTTTTCACTTTCAGACTATTCACTGTAAACACTACAGATGGTTGTGTCTCAGTAAATTTGAAATACTCAGACCAGCCTGTTTGGTACCAACATTTAAAGTCACTTAAATCACTTTTCTTCCCCATTCTGATGCTCAGTTTGAACTTCAGCAGGTCGTAAAATGCATTGAGTTCCTGTCATGTAATCGGCAGATTAGATATTTGCATTAACAAGCAGTTGAACAAGTCTACCCAATCAAGTGTCTGGTGAGCGTATGTTGAATTTACTGACATATTTAAATAATATCAACCCTGAATTGCAGGACCTCAGCAGGATCAAGTAGCAGCTCAAAAATTCATCCTAAAAATGTACCAAGAACAAAACCCGGACAAGGACAAGACGTTGTATTCTCACTTCACCTGCGCCACGGACACAGAAAACATCCGCTTAATCTTCAAGGACGTGAAAACAGCCATCCTCAGGCACAACCTCGGGGACTTCAACCTGGTGTAGAAAGGTTGCATACAGCACAGGAGCAAATGCATACAAGAGAAGACCTGAGGAAAGCCGAAATAGAAAAGAATCTAATTATCAATCAAGCTTAAACCAAAAAAGAAGCAATTTGAAATTGTTTCATTTCTAACAAGGGAGATCCAAAAAAGAGAGAATACAAACATCCTGTACCAGACATACTAACATGAAATTGTGTTTAGATGCTTTAGTTTCCCTTGTAGTTTTTTAGTATTTGCTGTAAATGATACTTTACAGTGGAAATGAGAAAGTGAAAATTAGTAGCAAGTAACTGACCTGTTGTGTGAACTACTTATTTAAATAGACATATGATCTGAGTGCTTTAATGTATGTAAATGTATCCCCATGTAATAGTTTGACAAGGATGCTCTTTAGCCCGGTTTTGTGATTTCATAATGTTTAGAAATGGTTGCTCTAACACTGAGACGCATGTAAGTGCCTTATTTACTCAGGACAGTCAGCAGAGCCACGGAGTTCATAGAGTGTCAGATGTAAATAGTCTGAGATGTGCTTTAGGAAAAAAAATACAACTGTTTCTTCTATTTATGGTTATTTTCAATAAAGAGATATAATTATTTAATAAAGAGTACAAGTCAGGTGCCTGACGTTTTCTTGGTGCGAGGAATAAATGAAGACCGCTTTGAATTCAAAAAACTTTATTGAAAACAGCATGAAAATGCTCCCCGAAAACAAAACGATGTAAATGAAATTGAGTGATATTATATCGTGATGCGCCCAAGACCAAAATCAAATCTTTGAAATATACATCAGAGTAAACAGCAGCTGATAATAATAATTAGCATTCCTTTATTTTCAATATATACCTTTTCTCTGTATAATTCATCAGCATGTTTGGCATTGCATATGTGTGGTATAAAAACATAAAAATCACAAAATTTCTTCTGCAAGCTCCTCATAAAGTCTGATGCGAGGATGGATATATACAGATAGACATCATATTAGGTCATATACAGCAAACTGATGCATGTAAGTACAGTATAAAAATAGCATGCATCTCTGACTCACACACTCAACAGTCTTTATTCTGCAATGTAAAAAAAAAAAATAGGAAAAAGAAGAACTTGAAGGATGCACATTTTTTGAATTATGTGTACTATAAAGCCATACTAATTCATATTAGCATGCCTTTTATATAATCCAGTAAAAGAAACAGTGTGCAACATTAAATGTGCTACAACAATTACAGTTAATTTGGCCTCAGTGATACTCGAGGGATTTTTTTCCCGCCCCCTACCAGTCACTGTTAAGATTGACATTTCTACACCCAAATCCTCCTTTACATCCAGAAATGAAAGTTAAACTCAATCTCTAAAGCTACGGTAGGCAAAAATGTTTTTGGT